AGTAGGAAATAGAAGAACCTCAAATATATTGCTCGACAAAAATGGAAATATTATATTGGAAACAGAACAAAAACTACGACGATGGAAAGAGTACATCGACGAATTATTTCATGACCAGAGAGAAGCTAGTACATCTGTAGATAGCCAAACGGGAGATGTAGGTCCAGAGATAACCAAATCAGAGGTTAGTCAGGCATTAAACTCAATGAAAACCAATAAATCTGCTGGTCCAGATGAATTACCAAGCGAGCTACTAAAGTTGGTCAACGAGAAAAACCTGGACATAATAGTAGAACGCTATCTATACTACGGGAATCATTCCTAGAGAAATGTTGACATCAGCATTTGTGTGTTTGCCAAAGAAAGTGAATGCCAAAGAGTGTAGTGACTATCGAATCATAAGCTTAATGTCACATACCTTGAAAATTCTCTTGAAAATTATCCACGCCAGAATACACTCTAAACTGGAGCTGGATATTAGTGACACTCAATATGGGTTCCGCAATGGTATGGGTACCAGAGAGGCATTATTCTCCTTCAATGTGCTGACACAGAGATGTTTGGATGTTAACCGTTCTCTTTACGTCTGTTTTATAGACTACAATAAAGCGTTTGATAAAGTAAAACATGATCGACTCCTGGAAATTCTAAAAAATAAAAACCTAGATGAAAGAGATTTAAGGCTAATAACACACCTCATTTCTCGCTGATTACAATCAGCGAGCAATAGTAAGAATCGAAAAAGAAACATCTGAAGAAATGGAAATAAAGAGAGGAGTCAGGCAAGGCTGCATTCTATCACCTCTATTATTTAACGCCTATTCTGAAGAGGTAATTCGAGAAACTCTGGAAGATGAAACAGTCGGCATAAGAGTAAATGGAGTCTTAATTAACAACATCAGATATGCAGATGATACAGTAATAATAGCCGATAGTTTACAAGACCTGGAAAGACTCATGAGCAAAATAGTCATGTGTAGTAGGGAGTACGGACTCTCTCTTAATGTCAAAAAGACGAAGTTTATGAAAATTTGTAAAAACAACTATAATACTAACGAAATCTTGATAGTAGAGGGCCAGCAGATCGAAAGAGTAAAAAAGTACACTTACCTAGGAACACTTATAACAGAAAATAATGACTACACGGCAGAAATCAAAGTCAGAATCGAAAAAGCACGTTCTAATTTTATAAAAATGAAAAAGGTCCTATGTGGCAAAGATCTAACATTAGCTCTTAAAGTACGCCTAACAAAATGTTACGTATACAGTGTACTATATTATGGAGTGGAATCATGGACGTTATATCTAGATACCATGAGACGACTTAACGCCTTTGAAATGTGGACCTATAGAAGAATTATGAGGGTTTCTTGGGTAGATAGAGTTACAAACAATGAAATACTGAGAAGAATAGGCAAAGAGAAGGAAATTGAACTTACAATTAAAGAAAGAAAGCTACAGTATCTCGGACATGTGATGCGGGGCGATAAGTATGGCATCCTGCGACTCATAATGCAAGGAAAAATAGATGGCAGAAGAAGCATCGCAAGAAGACGAATTTCATGGCTGAAGAACCTGAGAGAATGGTTTGGATGCAGCTCAAAACAACTATTTAGAGCTACTGCCTCAAAAATTAAGATAGGTATGATGATTGCCAAACTCCGTAGCGGAGATGGCACCTGAAGAAGAAGAAGAATAACACTACACTTATAGCAGCTAATGTACAACCAATGCTAGATCTCCTACGAATAGTTACATTGGAAAGCATTAAAGTTGGTATTAGAATTAATAAAGACAAGACGAAATATTAGTAATGGAAAAATTCAATACTATCCAGCTGAGTAACCACATGCAAGAATACCAGATAATAGACTGCTTCAATTATCTCGGATCTAGTATAACTAACAATCAAGATGGCGAAGCAGAACTTCGGAGAGCCATTCGTATGTCAAAAAATGCGATGGGTCCCCTAACTAAAGTTTGGGAATACAGATCTATCTCTGAAAATGATAAGATAAGATTGATGAATGCACGTGTATTCTTGTATGCCTTTGATATGTGGTGTTGGAGAAGAATGCTGCCTATACCTTAGATCGTTTATCGAACAAACGTTTCCATTCTTAAGCAAATTGACATTAAGAAAAGGTTGTCAACAACATGTCTGCAACGAATTTTACGTTCTTTGGTCACGTGACTTCCAGATTAGTCCAGATTAGGACGTCACGTGATGTCCGTCACGTGACGATAATTAGAGAGATTGTTTCCGTCTGGAAATGTTCAGGAGACCAAGAGCACGTTCACGAACCAGTTGAATACTGACCAATAGAGGCAATTTCTTAGGAGTATTAAAGGGAATCACGATCCTCAGTAATGGGGATACGACCAGAGAGATATATTATCAGAAAGAAATTGTAAGAGTGGAGAGACGGAGTAAGGATAGGTGGCAAAACAATCACGAACCTTATATATACCGATGATACCCTAATTTTATTCTGCTCAGAAGATGAACTAGTTCAACTAATGCACATGCCAAATAAACGTCAGTAGGGAATAAGATTTTATGCTAAACAAAAAGAAGATCCAAATCATGATAGATCGCAACCTACCTAAAATCAAAACGATTACTGACTTCGAATTGGTCAGCAGGTTAAATTACCTCCGGTCCCTCATAACGGACAAAGAAGGCTATGAGGATAGTTGTCGGTACCACGTAACGCAACCATACAATTAACTCGTCTGTGAAAAGACTCCTGGAAAATAGATGCCATCGAGATGTAAGTTTACAGAAGAATGTCGCGAATATCGTAGACAGAGCATTGTACTAACTTTGCCATTATAAAACAACTAAACGTCTATACAATGTTGTCTACAAGAAAAAATCAATCCCACCTCAGGTATTTTGGGCACACTGCAAGGAGAAGAGAGGGCCTAGAAAAATTGATCGTAGAGGCAATTTGATAAAATTTATGGCAAACGACCACGTGGAGGGTCTCCATTACTAGTAGACTATTCATAATATAGGTCCAATAAACTACTCCACTAAACTCACTGAAAGCGTGCAGATCAAAAGAGGTGTCCGTCAGGGGTGTATATTATCCCCACTCCTATTCAATATGTATTCCGAGGAAATATTTAACAAATGTATGAAAAATGCAAATGAGGGCATAAAAATAAACGGCGAATTAACGAACAATATAAGATATACCGACGACACGGTGATCCCTGCCAGTACCATAGACGAATTACAACAAGTAATGGAAAGACTTTATTCAGTTAGTGAGGAATACGGCCTGAGCCTCAACTTCAAGAAGACAAAGTGGATGCTGATAAGAAAAAAGCAACAACCTGCTCGACAATTACGGATAAGTAACATACTAATTGACCATGTAGAATCTTATGTGTACCTTGGCATCAACGTAAATGCAAAATGGGAACAGACCATAGAAATTAAGGTGAGAATAGAACGAGCTAGAGCAGTATTTAGCAATATGAAAAAACTCCTCATAAGCAAGGATTTGTCTCTTCCCCTAAAACTACGTCTAGTTAAATGCTACATTTTTCCGATCTTGCTGTATGGCGTGGAGGCCTGGACGCTGACGGAGACGCTAACGAGAAAACTAGAAGCATTCGAAATGTGGGTGTACCGACGCATTCTTCGTGTATCCTGGACCGAACATGTCACCAACATAGAGGTACTCCAAAGAATCGGAAAGGAGAAAGAAATCGTGAATACAATTAAACAAAGAAAGCTTGAATATCTAGGCCACATATTGAGACACGATAAGTACCGTCTGCTACAATTGATTGTCTAGGGAAAAATAGACAGTAAGCGAGGGCCAGGCAGGAGAAGACACTCGTGTCTCCAAAACCTGCGGAAGTGGTTCGGGCTCACATCGGTCGAACTATTCAGAAGCGCCGCATACAAGATCAAAATTGCCATGTTAATAGCCAACGTTCGCAACGGACAGGGCACTTGAAGAAGAAGAAACTACTTTACATGGAAAACCAAAATAATAAGACCAAATAATAGACTAAAAACAAAAAGAAATGGATATAAATCAAAAACAACAAAACTACTATGATAGCATGGATAGAATGAAATGAAATTAGAGAAATTGGAAAGGCAAGTTTAAGGAATATGGAGAAAATAGTAAACACTCAGAAGAAGGAAAAATTGGATTGGTTAAATTAAGCATATAGGTAAAGAGAGATAAAAATCACTAAAGGATCTGAAATTATTCACAAGCGATAGAAAAATGTAAAAGGGGTGAACAAAGACAAAACGTTAAAAGACGAAGAATATATGAAAAGAAAACGATTAAGTTTTGTGTCAATCAATGAAATTTACATCCGCAAAATGTTTAATTTTTGATTGGATTGAATATTTGATACCTTTTTCAATCCTAGAGAAGCCGCTACTTTATTTATGATGGAGATAAATACTACCGATATATAAAAGATTCAAAACTACAAAGACAACACCAAAAATGAGATTTTATAATCCAAAAATCATTGAAGATACAGCCAATTTTGCATTTTTGAAGGGATCATCGAATTTTATTAGAGTATATTTCGTATTATATTTTTACAAGATAACAAATATCAAAACTTGTTTATATATTTAAAGTTCATATTTGGTTTTATCAAATTAATCATTTTAAATTAAAACAAAAGGTACATAAAACTTCGTATTTTTGAAACTCTCGTTAAAATAACACATTAATATTTTATAAAACAACTTAGTTTTTAGCGTGTAAACCAATATAAGAAAACTTTGACCATATGAAAGTAAAAACAATTAAAAAAAACTATATAGTAACGAAATTGTTCTTAAAGCTCTCTGTATTGTAGGTCATCTAACTTTGCTAGTTAAATAACTTTTATTCTTAAATGTTTAAATATTCCCGCGCAACATTCCCGTGTCATCAAGCAAGCTGCGCATTACGTTGGATCTCTTTCATTGTGTTTGACATTGTAGTCCGTCAACGACATATTTCGAGTAATTGTTCGGGTGCCATCTTTTGTAAAGTGAAGTGGTGATAAAACGATGGACTTACGTCCTACCAAAGTTTGAAACGTTTGTGTTTTCTAAATTAATAATGGATATGACGATGTATCTGACGGCCCCCTTACATATTGATAAAATTTGTAGGGCCTGTTTATCAGAAAAAGGAGATATGAGACCCTTATTTGGAGCATGTTTAGATGAAATGTTAAATACTTTTGCATCTCTCCAGGTGATTATTTTCTACGGATGTAAATTTTTCGTTTTTACGAATATATTTATTTAACTCATAACTCGTAATTGCTATATCTAAAATGACTGATTATAAAACTTCAAATATTCATTGTTAGCTAATATACAATAATTTAAGAATGTCAGAAATTTAAGATTTTAAAAATATTGCAATTGGCAGTGACTACTCACCCGCTCGAAGGTGAATTAGCCATGGTATAACATACATTCCTAAAAATAGTCTATTATCAAGTATATATTAAACTGCTGCATAATCTATATAATGTATTTAAGTAATTGAAGTAAAAAATAAATACAAAGCAATATTATTTTCTTTGGATGCATTATCATCAACGCCGTTGTCGTTTAATTCGTTTGGGATTAGGATTTTCTTCCACATTTATTTTGTTTTTTTCTCCTTTATACTTAGGATTGAGTATAATTATTCCTTCCATATTTCTTTTATTTTTTCCGGCTTATATTCTTAGTTTTTATCCATCTTGCTCTACCCAATGACGTGTTATGTCCGGTCCTTATGTTTTTATAAAAGTTTTTTATAGTATTAAGTATCCATTCTATACTTTCCTATGTCTTCTCTTTTACCCTCTATTCATATATATTTTTTTTCTTTTATAAATAGCTTCTTCCCCGTTTCGTGCCATTTTGTAATTTGTTTTAGCTTGTTTTTGGATTTAATTCATCTTCATCTTCTTGCTTTCTAGCTTCCTCGCATTATTTTTTCTTCTTTTGTCTTGTTTCACATTTTTCATAACAATTCGTAAAAATATTCTTTTTTTTTCAGGTTTTGTCAGTGCATATACCTCATCGTGCGTGGATGTTTACCTACTTTTAGTCTGTTACTTGCCATTTTTTTTTCATTTTTGGGTTAATTCATTCATTTTTTTCTTATGTTTCCATATACTTAGAAGCCTCTTTCTCGACCTTTAATGCTGTCGCTATACAAAAATGTGTACTTTTCTTTGCTTATATACTCATTGTTTTTCCGTCTTACCTTGTGTACAGCCGCTATCGAAATTTGGTATATTTCGTTTGTAATTTCGTCGATTTTTCTTGTAGTGGTCTTATATTCTAAGGAGCTTTTCTTATCTGTTTATATTTTTTCTTTTTTTATGTTCTTTGTCTGGTCTATTTCCCTGTTGTCGGTCCCTGATGCTTCTGTTAGTTTTTTGGTTTATTTATTTTATCTTGTTTTTTTACTCTATGTTCTCACTTTCTGTAAAATGTGGCAGAATAACAAGTTTTTTGCCTACATGAACTTTATCACCTCTATTATTTCCCATAGCGACAGCTGTTCCCATCCAGACTTCCTTCTGAACAGTCAGGTTCACGGCTTATGTAAATATTAAAATCGTACCCCAGCTGAGCCTTAAGTTAATTAATTATGTTATTTATTATTAAGTTAATTATGAGAATGTGTTGCTTGTGTGAGTCGATTTCAAATAGTTAAAAGAAATAATTTTATTATTAATTATTTCTTTATTTCTTTTACCTATTTATTAATTCCTTTTCTTTGCCGGTTTGCATTGACGAATGTCCTTTGATCTTTGTCATTCACTCATCTATGCTTTAAAAGTCCTGGCTGCATTTCTGTATAGAAAGTGTGATGCCAATTACATTTTTTAAGAAATAAGTTTTAATCTATTACTTATTTGTGGAATCTTACTGTCATAACCAACAGACACTCCAGCACAACTTATAGTTCATTTAATCGGTGGTCAAACAAAAGTTTTCATGTGATTTTTTGTGAATTTAAATTCCCTCATTTGTGTATTTGATATACGTTTCTGTTATTTATATTTCTTTTTCTGGAAGTTCCTTCTTTGTCTTCTTAATTGTGGCTTTATTGCGTCCTGTATGAGACTGTTTCATCATTTCTTATCAATTTTTGCAAATGGGCAGTATCCCACATTCATTCTCCAGTATTTATATGTCATATATATGATTATGATTTATGTTTTTTTTTATTTTGTTAAAGAATCATAATAAACAAAATAAAAATATTCACACACATACACCTAAAAAACACCAACTTTTGTAGTTACATAGTTCACAGAGACTTTTATATTGCTAATAGAAATAGGTGCTATAAATTTCCACAATGCTAATAGTGACAAAGTTTGGATATAACCAATACAGGGTATGCGAGACAAGTTTTGATTAAAAGTAATGACGGGTACTTAAAAATCTGAATTTTGGCTTAAAATAATACAGCGGAAAATGTAATAAAATATAGGGTGTTCTATTTAAAGTAAGCAACTTATAAATGATTTAAATTGTGCATGTTGGTGGCTGTTTAAAACACCCTGTCATCATCATCATCGTCACCCAGCCCTTTGCATCCACTGCTGGACATAGGCCTCCCTCATTTTTGTCCATTGTGCTCTATATTGAGTACTTTTCATCAAATTTCTTGACATTTTCTTGAGATCTTCAGTCCAATGAGTAGGGGGTCTTCCTCTACTTCTTTTAATTTTCTATGGAAATCTACAAAACCAGAACGAGTGGTCGATTGTATTCGATAGTCTTTTCTATTACCGTTTTAATGCTCTGTAGGTGATCATTTGTTACAAATCCGTTAAGAAATCCCGCTTGCTCTATTAGCTGGTAGAAATCAAGTTTTTTTGGTGATTAAGAAGACTTATAGGTATGTAGTTTTCTAATTCATAGAAAGTTTTTATCCTGTATGAAATATTAATGAGTTGGACACATTAGGTTAACGGACAAGCGCTTTTTGTTTATTGATTAAAGTTTCACGTCACTAGTCTTGTTATTAATGGAGATATCGTTAGTCAATATGGATTAGGAATTTTTCAAAATTAAAAAAAAATCTAAATATTTGGAAAATACTTCATTATTGGTATAGAACATTGCGCAAAAATTTTATCCGTTATTCATGTAGAATTCGAAAATAAGCTAAAAAATATTAGGTTCTATTTAACATAACAAAGTTGACGTCTACTTCCGGTATAACCGAAAGTGCCACATGCGATACAACATTATATTTTAACTCAACTTTGAATTTTCAAATTTTTAACATATCTGTATCCATCAATATTCTTATTAAAAACTGTCGTACACACCCTGTATATTTTTTCCATATTCTGTGTTCTAGGTAGCAGAAAATGATGGCTTTCCTCATCTTATGTGTGTGCAATGTGTCCTACAATGTAGCAGAGCTTACACTTTCAAACAGCAGTGTGAGAAGTCAGATAATATTCTACGACAATATCTATCACCAGACTTTCAGGTAAAGTATACATATACTATATGTAAATCAAAAATAGTTTTTTTTGGTATCGATGGCTTTTGTTAGCACTAATTTATCCAATGTTTGGTTAATTTCTTTAATCCTCAAGAAAAGGTTAATAATTATTTCCTTTAATTCAAAATCTGTCTCTACCATCATCAAGAAAGAACAATAAACCTTTATAATACTTTTGATAAGAGAAAGATACCTTATATTTATGCAAATGGTCCCATGGCGTATATTAACAACAGATATTTGAATCCCTCGTATTGTCTCCAATAATATCTATACGAAACTACAACCAGCATAAGAACTCATTCACTAAAAAACAGCCACTTTTAAGACAGATTTCAATTTCAACAGAATAAGACATAATATTGGCGGGTTGTTGCCTCTATGGAAGATTGTCACTCCATATAGAATAGAATAGAATAGAAATATGCTTTATTGTCACTGAAAATTATTGAACAATTTTATGGACAAAGCTAAAAAATAAATCAGTCAAATAGTACAAAAAGTATAAAACAAAAACAAATATAGTAAAAAACAGAATAACACAATTTTAAATTAGTAAAATTATTGTATAACCTACATAATTTGTACAGACAACAACAACTGAGACAAATTGTAGCCACTGCTTGAGACACCCAAATGTAATTATAAACAATACTAATTTTGTTTCTTTGTTATACATTAAGAAACTCGTCAACTGAATAATATGGTCTTTCTGAGAGATAGATTTTTGTCACCTTACGAAACTTAATGAAGAATGTTGCGGATTTAATTTCTCTTGGAAGGTGATTATAAAGTTTCTTTGCACGATATAGAATAGAATTCTTTACTACAACTTGTACCTGAGTGGACGGGATCGGCAAATAAACGTTACAATCCGAATTTCTAATGGAGTAGCCATGGTCAGATCTATCGGGAAAAATGTTAAGATACTTTCGAATCAAACAAACCGTTTCCAAAATAAATAAAGAGGGAAGCGTCAAAATTCCGTGATTTTTGAAGTAGGTCTTGCAATGTGTTGTTTGTTTGAGACCAAATAGATAACGGATTGCTCTTTTTTGCAACTTAAAAATAGTATCAAATTGGGCCGTTGTACTAGAACCCCAAAATGGAAGCCCATATCGGAGATGGGACTCGAACAATGAGAAATATGCCATTTTGGCAGAAGATAAATTTAGTTCCTTCGAAACAGATCTTATTGCAAAGCAAGCTGAGGCTAGTTTCTTCCTTAAGGAGTCAGTATGCAAGGACCATTTGAGATCACTGTCAATGAGAATACCTAGAAATTTCACGGAATTTACGATATTGATTTGGCTCTCATTCAAAAGCAAGGGTTGCATGACTCCTTTATAAGATAATGCTACAGTCTTATCCACGTTAAAGCTAAGTAAGTTGGAGTCTGACCAAGCCTTAATTATAAGTAAATCAGCGGTTATAATTGAATGAAGCGTTGAAATATCAGAGCTGCTCCAAGTAATACTGGTATCATCAGCAAATAGAAAAATTTTCCCTTTAATTTTCAAGCAAGTGATGTCATTAATGAAAAGTAAAAAAGAATGGGACCTAATACTGAACCTTGCGGTACTCCACACTCAATATCTTTACAACTAGAGTCGATGTCATTTATTCTAACCAATTGTTTCCTACCTACCAAGTAAGTTTTGAACCAGTTCAAAGACACACCCCGAATTCCATAGAAAGTTAATTTTTTTAATAGAATGTCGTGATTTACGCAGTCAAAGGCTTTGGAATAGTCGCAGAAAACGGTGGCGGAGGAGAGGTTACTGTTTAGTGATAGATATACATCATGTAACACAGAAAATATGGCATCACTAGTGCATTTATTAGACAAAAAGCCAAACTGATTTTGCGATAAAATATTATATTTAAGGAGAAAGGGCATAAGTCGAACTTTTATAAGTCTTTCAATAATTTTTGATAGTGCTGATAACAAGGCAATAGGTCTATAGTTGCAGGCATCAGATTTTTCTCCACCTTTATGAAGAGGAATGACGATGGCAGTCTTTAGGCAGTTAGGGAATGTACCTTTTTCAAGCGAATCATTTACTAGCGAGACCATGACCTCCAATATCTTGGGCGGTCTCCCGATACTTCTACCATTTGGTGATTTGTCCATAGCTATTTTATTGACTCTTGTGTCTGCCTTTCTACTGATGTGATTGTTTCATTCTTTTTTCTCTTTAGTGCTCACTCGTTTATACCATGTACGTTAAATTTTGTTCTGAAGTCGTCACTCCGTATTCGGACTCTCAATGTGTTTCCTGTAATTCTTCTGAGTACTCTCTTACTGTTTCCAGCACTTTCTGTGTTTTGATTGTAAAGGGTCCTCTTTCTGAACGCACGTTATTATTGGTCTTATGCTTGCGGTATAAATTATTGATTTCATCTCACAGTTAATGTGTCGGTTACACCATATAGTGTTATTAAAGCATTCTACTAATCTATTTGCTCTTTGTACTACTATCTCATACTTCTTTATTTTATGCTATCAGTACTGCATCGTCTATGTAACAAAATTTTTTAATTTCGTTCTGGCATAGGGATCCCTGTCTTATTCCATTACCTGTATCTATAGGTTCCGTAAGTTATCCATTTTTAAAAGTTACTTAATCTCGTAAATTCCCGTTTTAAGACAGATTTTAGTATCACAAGAATAAGACAGAAAATAATTGAATTTGACAATCAAAACAAGTTTAACAATATGTTTATCGTGACCACGAGTTGGCCCTTTATTTTCTCTTAATTAATATATTATCTACATTATACTTAAACCACCTTTATAGTTTATTTTCGCTCCTGAGATATACAGTCACGTTATTAAATATTTTGATTTATTGATTGTACGTTCTTGGTTTAACTAACATAGAATACTTGATCTTATCTTTATGATCTTCGTTTTTTTCTTATAGTCGACCCAGCACAGCTTCTGTAAAGAAATTATTGTTGAGCAGTGAGCACCATGAAAATGCAAGCAGCCAAAAAACTAGATAGCCATGATGCTACTTCGACCAGTGGCGGCTGGTGTGGTAAAATTTTGGGTAGGCCAAGCTAGCAAATTACATATAGCTATGTGTAATCAGTGGTGGATCCAGAGGGAGGGGTCATGGGGTTATGACTATTTCCATTTCCATTTTCCATTAACTGAGCAAGAATATCTTTCTGGATTGATACAGTAGACGGTGATAAAAGCTGATTTTGCGTCATTGCATTTCGAAGAGATGACTTTATTCGCTTTAAAGTGGAGAACATTCTTTCAGTTGAAGCGCTTGTTGCAGGTATTGTAGCAAGTAAACAAAATAACATAGCTTTCAGGAAGAATTTCATTGGTTTCGTTATCAAACATACTTTATACTTTTTATGTTTAGAATTGGTTTCGCTAACAGCAATGTTGAAATGGTTAGAAAATGTAAGGTCATTTCTCCAGCTCTTTAACATTGCAAAACATCTGGACACTGAATTGGCACACAATTGAACATCATTATTTTTCTTCTGCAAGATGTTGTATAAGAGCTCAGTTTGTTGAAATATATCACTAAAAACATTTAATAAAAATACAAATTCCAAATCCTTCAACTTATGCTTAAAACCATCTGCCTGCCTAATTGATTTTGCATTTGATTCTGGGCAATTCATTATGTTCTGAAATAATTGTAACAATTTTTTCTTTCTTGTGACACAGCATACTACTTTTGCATTTGAATTCCATCTTCACTATTTGCGGGAATTCGTTTTCTAAGTATTTTATTTAAAAAATAGGACCATTTGGACGATTGGTGAAAATAAGCTGGAATACCTTGAAGCTTTGAAAAAAATATTTTGACTGTTGCAATGTTGGAGCAACTTTGCTGTAAAACTAAGTTGACGCTGTGAGCGAAACAATGGGTAAATATTGCTAATGGTGCAGAATCTCTCACTAATTTTTGAAGTCCATTAAGTTGTCCCGACATAACACTAGCTCCATCGTAGGTTTGAGCAATTAATTTAGCTTTACAGTTAAATTTACCAATTTACCAATTACACTAAACAGTAAGTCACGTAACGCTGGAGCACTTCGGTCTTCCGCTAGATCAAAAAAAAAACCTAAGAAATATTCTTGAACAACGCCTTTTGTGTCCACTAATCTGCATACTATTTAACATTGTGCCCTTTCAGTAATATCGGTTGTTTCATCAAGAATGCATGCAAAAAATGTGGAGTTATTTATGGCGCTCTCGATAAAAATATGAATTTCGTCTTTAACTAGATCGATTAGTTCGTTTTGTATAGTTTTTGAGATACCTCTGAAATATATTTTTTCTGCCAGTGATCATTTAGTTCTGAGTTGATTTTAATATTAATTCCCAAATCGCTTTAAAATTTCCAGGATTTAGGAAATCATCGGATTCGTCTTGGCCACAGAAAGCCAGTTCCTGTTTCGCTAAGGTACAAGTTAAAGAAACTAATTTTTTAATGATTTCTCTGTTCATTTTAACTTCTGCGTTGTATCTAATTTTTGCAATTTTTTATTCTTCATCTAAAAATCGCGAACAGAAAACGCCCTGTTCTGTACATCCTTAACGGACAGGAAATTACTTAAATGTTCCTTGCAACTGGAATGTTTATTTAAGGAGGCAGACATATTTTTTAAATCAAAGTATTCTTCACATTTCCATATACATTTCTTATTAGAAAATAACAAACACGGCCAACCATATAGTTTGTTTTTCGTAATACTTCCAGACAACCATTTATAGACATCATACCAAGAACAATTAAAAGTACGCACCTTTTTCCCATCTTTTTCGTCAATACGCAATGTTGGAGTAGTCATTTCATTCATAATATTTTTTTTTATCAACTTCTTAACCAATAGTGAAACCACATGATACTATGACTTCCAAGATAAAACCACTTCGCAATCGAATTTTGTACGTCGATGCGCATGACGTCAATTGGTGATAAAAGTTTATCTTTAATTTAATATTCTGAAATATATTTTATCAAAAATGCACACATTTATTTGTCAACGTACTAGATAAACGATAAAACAATACTAAATCTGACAAAACTCCATGCAAAACAGAACATTTCTGATGATATTTGTCGCCAAGTGACGTCACACCTGCAAAAGAGATAGACTGATCGCGTGCGCGTGGGCTTATCTTTAGTTCATAGTATCATGGTGAAACAACAATGTCGAAACACTCACTATCAACATTACTATTACTGCAACCTGGTAAAGCGTCAGAAAAACACATTTTTATATATCAGTTATAAAACGATCTCACTAATCCAAGCTAAATTTAAAAAAACAACCTCGATCGGCCAAACAACTAGTGCAACTAGAAATAACAGATAACACTGAAGCTTGAACTAATGCTCGGCGATAGTGTTACCATATATAAGTTGCATACAATCAGGCGATATAGAAATCATGCAAATGTGATTTTTTTTTTCGAATTTTACGAATTTTTTAAAATTTATTTGGGCAACCGTGCACTTGTTTGCAATTGTGTTGTTTGTTTAAAAATATGTTACAATTATAGATTATGTTACATTTTTTTTTATTATAATTTAAAAGAAAATTTATATTACAATTCGATAATTACGTTATAAGTGACAACGATGGTCGGCGTAGGCCCGATCGTCTGGTGCCTAAACACCAAACATAAACACGACAATATAAATCGTTGTCCGGCAAGCTGCTTAACTTCAAACGCTTTTTGTACGGGGATCTTATGTGAGCTGGGTCGGCCAGTTCCGATCGTGCCTATTATGATATTTAACATGCCTGAATACGATTCGATGCTTTCTGTGGTAATATAATAACATAGTTATTTTAACGGACGCAAATCTATTGAGTGATTTAGTACATTTAAAAGTTATTTACATGCATTAACATAATTTTTGCATATATGTTTTTCAATTTTAAAGCTCTTAAAATTATTGGGTAGGCCCGGCCTATCCTGCCTACCCCCAAAAGCCGCCACTGACTTCGACCTGGTGCCACTTTGTCACCTTCGATGGTGTTATCTTTACGAGAACCACTATCTAAATCCCGTTCTTTTTCTTCTACATTTTTCAACCCTCTCATTAAGTCACACCTCCCAAACAGCAAACGTTTAAGCATTAACCAACTCAATATAGACTAGAATTATTATGAGTCGTTCCCCAGAACACAGAAATATCGGGGTTTTAATGACAACACTAATTAATCTCATTTATTATCTCAGAAAGATTTCAGATACGTGTGGATTAAGTTGTTCTTTCGAACCACGTTAGACACGACGCAGATTTTTAGGAACTCTATACAGGTTACTAAAAAATTTAACGTCGCATCTAAACACAAATGAACTATTTAAGATTAAGCTCTCAACAAAATTTTGTTGATGTCCAACCTTCAATAATAACTCTTAATAATAATCTAATAATTTTTACTAAAATATTATTTATAGAAACAACTATCAGACACACTTGCCGAGAAACAGAGGGAACAAGTTAAACAAGAATTACAAGAACAGCTGCAGTTTTCTGAACATCTAGGTACTGTTATTATTGAGGAAGATATTCCAGAGTTCGTTACATATACTGATGACGACCAAGTAGTGGTAAGTCAAGTGGGATCCGTTTCATTTTTACTTTTTATGTAAACGTTGCACGTGCACGTATATTAACGACTTTAGTTTGTGGATTTTAAATGTCATTGTTTTAGAACAGGGTTATCCAACTGGCGGCCCGCATCCGGCCCGCGAGGCTATTTGTTGTGACCCACGTAGATTTTCGAAAAGCATATATTTTCTTTAAATGCTGACACTGTGAAAAAAGATTTTTTAATTTATTTTATGGTTTAGCAGTGTTTTTATTTAGTGTATTACTACGCATTACAGTTCACGCAGGCCACACCTCCCACTGCTTACCATCTGTCGCCAGCCGCCATCGTGCCACTGTGCTACTGACACGTAGGCTAGTCGGCTAATCTATTACGTTGCTAGTGAACAGTGAACTTGATTAATTCTTTGTATTGATTCCTCTTATACAATAATGAGTGTAAATCCAGTAAAACGGAAAATTGATGGTGAGAACAGAATTTACAAAGAAAGTTTGGAGAGTGATTACTTGATTGCTAACAATAATGGTAAGTTGCAGTGCTTAGTGTGCATGAATGTCATTTCAGTGCCTAAAGAATATAATGTGAGAAGACATTACACAACAGTGCATGAAAATAAGTATGCTACGTACACAAATGAAAGTCGGCGTGCCCTAGTTGCAGATTTGAAGAAAAAGCTTAAATAGCAAACTGGTATGTTCAATAAAATATTACACTCTCAAACGCATTCTTTGCATGTATCTTATGCCGGGTAGCTTGAGCTGGCAAAGGCAAAAAACCTTTCACTGATGGCAATTTGATAAAAAAATGTACTGTTGAAATGGCCAAAGCTTTCAGTGATTCTAAAATGGCGGAGAAATTTGAATTAGTGCCACTTTCACATCAAACCATACAAAAAAGGATCGTTGCTATGGGTGAGCAAGTAGAAAAATCTATGCTTAGCCTGGTTAAGAAAAGTTCATATTTCTCACTTTGTTTGGATGAAAGCACTGATCAAACCGATGTTAGTCAGCTGTTAATATCTGTGCGCACTACTTTTGATGATTTTACCAGTAAAGAGGAGTTATCTGATATTTGTCCTTTTTATGGAACAACAAAAGGAAAAGACATCTATGAGGCTGTGAAGAAAACAGTTGACAGAATTGGAGGCTTTGATAAATGTTCAACCATAGCAACAGACGGGGCCCCATCAATGACAGGAAAGAAATTGGATTAGTGGGTCTGCTTCGAGAGAATGGTGTCACTTGCCCAACAATTCATTGTATTATACCAGCGATATATCAGGGAGCTTTATGTGGAAAATCAGTCAAGGAAGATCAAGTTTTTCAAACCGTGATTAAGATTATAAATATGATTAGAGGTGGAAATCGATCTCTTTTACACAGGCAACTTAAGCAGTTTTTAGTGGAAACAGAGGCTGAGTATGGAGACTTGCTAATATACAACCATGTAAGGTGGCTGAGTGCAGGAAAGTGCATAAAACGATTTTTTGCCATAAGAAAGGAAATCCCTGCATTCCTCAACAAATACGTTTCATCTGACACAACTGAACTGGTAGAGAAGTTTAAGGATCCAGAATTCTTAAGACAGTTAGCTTTTATAACAGATCTGACTAATTAGCTTAACATGTTAAACTTGACTCTTCAAGGAAGAAACCAGACGGTTTCAGATTTGATCGGAATGATAAACGGATTCCGGAATAAGCTGAACGTGTTTAAACGTGTTTTGGAAAAGAACAACCTGACACACTTCCCTAGCTGTCTGCAAATAGCAGAAGAATTCAATGATGAGAAAAATATAGAGATTTCGTTCTACATTTCAAAAATTGAACAAGTTATTGATAAGGTCAATACAAGATTTGAAGAAATTTAAAGTCTTAAAATCAGTGTACTACTTTATAATAACTCTCTTGGAGTAACCATTGATGATCAACCACCCAACTTACAGCTTGAGTTATGTGATCTTCAAGCAGACATATTCCTAATCACCAGACCAGAAAAGGGACCTGAATTTTTCAAATTACTGTCAAAGGAGAAATTCCCAAACCTGCGAGATTTTGAAATGAAAATAACGTCAATGTTCGGAAGCACATATACATGTGAAAGTGCCTTTTCCTTCATGAAATACATAAAAAATGAAAACAGAAGTAACCTTACCGATTCTTCCTTACGTCATCTTATGAGAGTGTGTACAACTGAACTGGAGGTGGACATTTCTTCATTGGTGGATGAAGCCGATCGACCACAGTCCTCACACTAATTGGATACATCTTTTTCGTTGCTTTTGCAATGTTTGTCTTGATTATTGAAAAGTGTTATCAATAAATTTTCCGTTTATAAAAAAATGTAGTTGTTGAGCAATAAAATAAATAATACTCTTTTTTTATAAATAATAAATAATCTAATATATATTAGATTATTTATTCTAATAAATAATATTCGTTTTAATTAAATATTTTTATACCTCACTTTATTTTGTTATTACTTGTAACAAAATTATTATATGGCCCGCGACAACATCAAAGGTTTTAGTTTTGGCCCTTGAGGCATTGCAAGTTGGACACACCTGTTTTAGAATAAAAATAATGTACCGTAGAAAGCGTTACTTTTTATCATGACACTGTTTTATTCAAATTTGTTAACATCTTCAAATGGGTATAGCAAACGCCAGTTATGATAAAATTGATTCACATAATCAGATGTAAAAGATCCTATTTTAGTGAAGCTGGGTAAGAAAATTGTGGTAATGAAGAATGAACAGAGGCGCACACAAATTTGTCAGACCAGCACATAAGACAACTTAATACTTAGCGTCACTAAATGAATGCCAAGATTACAACCTTTTCTCCGCCTATAACTTCATCATAATATAATTTATATTTATTAACGTTTGTTGTATCTATCTAATGCCTTACTGGTTGTCTAGATCGTCGGTAAGTTATGTCTTATAATTATGTGTTTTTTAGGTGAAAGAGGGTTTATATACAATCGAAACCACAACAGTATCAGAAGCAACAACTGAAGAATTAAGCGAGGGTATTGTTTTACAGCTTGAAGAGAAACAACCAGAAGATACTAGCAATAAACAAAAATATTCTTGTAAAAAATGTGATCAATCGTTTCCATTAAAAGTTGATCTAAAGGTAAGGTTTCAAAACAGTTTTTTTCTATTTTACTAAAAAATCGTTGTCTATTTGCCCGATTTCCCCAACGTTTTTAGGTCCCACAAAAGGTAGGAAAGCCCCACATTACTACATAGAGGTCGCTGCTAACATATAACAGCCAAACTAGATTGCATTTTATTTCAGTTTGAACAGCTACAAGTGTTCCTGATGAGAGTTGAAAACACGTTTAGAACAATAATGGTGTTCAAATTAAAAGAAAATGTAATTTTATATATATATATATATATATATATATATATATATATATATATATATATATATATATATATATATATACAACATATATATATATATATATATATATATATATATATATATGTTGTATATATATATACAACAATATACGGTTTAGTACAATTAAACCTAGGGCTAAGGTTAATACTATAACAAAATTTAATATTAAACTCGTGGTTGGAGCGAACATTTCTGACAGTGGGATTTTGATTCGCGGATGGAACGGACGATAATTTCTTATGAGAAGTCTCCATGTCGAAGGCAACCCGTATGTCGTCATCACTTTTATTGAGACGATTTGGTCTTTTTTTCAATTTTTATGTCTTTTCGGATAATTCTTAGTTTATAGAAGCGGAACGGGGCTATGGTTATGAAGTTTTCAAAATCGATTCCGTGACCTGTAAAAGGTTACCGCGAAAATCACATCAATAGGAGCATCCATAACATTAATCTCTTACTCAATCCAAAGACTACCCCCAACAAAAACTTTCATCTCTTATCCGATTAATCAAAGACAACATTCCAAATGAATAATACATAGTTTACGAAATTCCTTGTGCAGACTGTCCCCGATCCTATATAGGCCAAACAAATCGTAGAATGCAAAATAGAATTTAAGAACATTAAATTTCTGTTCACATATCCGATTCAATTTCGGTTCTAGGTCAACACAATCTTCGTATAGGTGACATAATTGATTTTGAAAACTAAAGAACCATAGCGTTCATCTATCATTCTATATACCAAGAATTATCCGAGAAGCCATAGAAATTGAAAAAAGTCCAAATTATCTCAATAAAAGAGATGACATCATACGGTTGCCTTCGACATGGAGATCTCTCATAAAGAAAATATCGTCCGCTCCATCCGCTAATCAAAATCCCACTGTCAGAAATGTTCGGGCCAACCCCTCGCCAATTCTCACGCTAACCCCCACGCTAACCTCCACCTAAACCACGTCACCATCGACGATATAAATGAAACGTTCTCTATTCGCAGTGGCAGTAGTGAATGTTTCTATGTGCCTTTATTTCTCAATATTTCGCCAATTATTTCTTACCGTCCTCAAGAGAAAAAGATTTAGAGTTTTCAAACATTTGCACGTTCGTTCGTTCGAAACAGTACTCTTCTGAGGATGCTAACAAATACTTAGCGAAATATTGGAAAATAAATAAAGGAATTTGATTTCCAAATAACAGACCGTGATCAAATTGAGGTTAAATGCCAATTTTTTGATAAATAAAATGGCACCAATGGCCTTTGTGGATTGTGATTATTTACCAACGCTTTTGTTCAATATAACCCATAAAGAGGTGGTAAAAAGTTTATCTAATCCTTTAAGTAAGATTAAAATAATAGATTTGTTTAAGTACATGTTTAATTATCCCAAAACAACAAACATACAAAATTAAAACAATTAAATTTAAAAAGAGAACCTATCTACTAAATTTAGGAGTATTACTAACTTATCAGATAAATCGAAAGTCTATGGATGTAAAACCCTAAAAAACGTCCAAACGTTTTGGGCCGATATAGGTGGCGCTTTTTGCAGCTTACACTAGAGTAGTGGAAATAGCAGGACACATTCGCTGACTTTCCCTGTTTGGGTTTGTGTCTAACCGACTGTCTGAAGACGTAGGACATACAGAAATAACGTTATAATAGAGTCTATTGATACCAATTTATACACGGAAAGTTTGACCAATTGTGTTCGTTTTTATATACAGTGCTACTCAAAACTCCGTTCCCCCTCGTATCTTTTGAACGGTTATTGTTATAATAGTCAAATTTGAAGGGAGATCATAAACAGACGTAGGCTTCTCAACTAGTCTTAACAGGTGACGTAATAGTGACAGATGACGTTACAGCGCCACTGTGACAGATAATTTTAAATGGTACGTGATGGCAAGTGATACCTTGTTTGAAAGGTATTGAAAATATCTATTCAGTCATACTAATTTTGTTTGAGTTTAAGCTCATTTGGATAAATAAATTAAATAAAGACTAAAATTGTTGCCTCTCATTTAATTAATAAATATTTAACTACCAGTTCTTATAGTAAGTGTTCACAATGTGCTCCATGTACTTCCTGACAGTAATGCATCCTATTTCTAAACTATTGCCATACTCGTTCAAATGTTTCGGGCAAAATTGCCCTACATTCTTCAACAATTCGTTGTTTCAAAATATCAATATTGTCGGATGCTGTAGCGTAAACTTTAGATTTCAAGTATCCCCACGGAAAAAAATCTAATGGTATGAGGTCCCGTGACCGAGCTGGCCATTCTATCATACCTCGTCGTCCAACCCATCTACCACTATATTCCTCACCTAGGTAACATCTTACTGTACCATAATGGTGTGCAGGAGCACCATTTTGTTAAAACGTTATTTCCAAGTTGCCGAATTCATCTGGATTATCGTCCAGAATTTTAAGTATTAACGGTTCAATCGCATTTTGGAAATTGAGTATATGTTTCACGAAAGACGTGAGGATTTGTGTCACTCCAATATCTCACATTGTGTGTGTTAACATTTCCATTGAAAGAAAAAGTACTTTCGTCATTAAAACAAATTGTTTTTATGTAATCGAGCTGTTGGTTAATTTTATTGAACATATTTTCACAGAATTCTAGTCTTCGGTCGGGGCCATCATCTGAAAGTGGGTTCACAATTTTTAATTTATATGGATGACATTTGTTTTGACTGATTACATAGATATATGCAACTTGAGCTGTAGAAGAAGTAGGGTTCACTACCATTTCTTAAATTATGTCAATTTTTTTGTCATCACCAATTGTTGGTCGACCAGATCGTTTGACATCTTGAACACTATTTGATTGTTTAAACTTCCGAAGAAGTTTCCTCAAATAAGTTCTCGATGTACTTATCGGCTACAGTACGTACCATTCTGCCTTTGTAAAAATTTAAACGTCTCGTTAAACAATAATTAAACTAAATATTAACTAGGAACAACTAACTAAAAACAACTTGACTAAATTTGAATTGGCTAAACTAAGCAGAAATAGAAACTAAATATTCAGCTATAAACCCTTTTGCAAACTAAAAACAACTACAGTAAATTCAACTTCAAGTTACGGACAGAATCAACACAAGTCACCGCGTGATATTCGAGTCTACACGTGACGAACGCCTTGCTATTGGCCAAATTGTCGAACGATCGTAAGTCAGGCAGTTAGCCCTAACAGGTGCGGACCTCTTTCGTCCTCTGTCGAATGCGAAATGGCCCAGTAATTTTTGTGCAAAGCTGTTTGTTGGTTTATTTATTTGTTAATCCTTAGCTCGTGTGTGGATAGTGCAAAGCATTTTTAAGAACATTTAATTATACTCGACACAAACTTTTTCCCCACTTTAAAATATTTCCTGTAAGTATAATAAAGCATTTATAATAGCCATAAGATTTTAGCATTTATAATATCGACCTGCACTGATATGTTTAATGGATAAAAATTATTTAGTATGTTAAAAATTATGAAAAACAAGAGGTGCCCGATATAATTTTGTCCTGACTATAATTAATTTAAAGTCTTTGCGGCACGAGATTTTATAAATTTTCTACAATGGACCCTTGGGGCATAGAAAGATTCAATTGCACACGTAAAACGTAAAATGACCTCACTTTTCAAGAAACAACTGATAACCATTCGCGTTTGGCCAATAACTATACCGCGGGAATTTTACCAATTAAAGATAACACTTAATAGGGACAGAGGGAATAAGTAATACAAACCACTTGCGTAGGTGTGACTTGATAAAAATAGATTAATAAGTGATTCATTTTGTGGACTACTGTAAAAAATTTGGTGGTTCAAATTTCAATCCGATGTGCCGAAAAGAGTTAAAAAATACCTTTTTTTATATATTTAAAAAAAAATCAACCCGGGCAGATATTGTTTTAGATTTTTTGGATCATTCTAAACAAAAATTTATTTTGTAATTTTTCTTAAGTTGATCGTGTTCGAGTTATAAATAATTTAAAACTGGAAGACAAGCAAGAATTGACAGGCGAACAAGAATTGACAGACGAAAAAGAATTGACAGACGAAGAACGATAGATGACGATTTTCAAGGATCAAAATCATTAGTAAAAAATATCACATTTACCAAAGCGGTGTAGGTAAACCTTATATCGGATCCTCTACTATAAAAGTAAATTTGAAAATGCCCATTTTGTTATTTTAGTTGAGAAAAGTATAATAAATCCATTTATTTAATATGTCTGATACGGAGTCGGCAAATGAAAATGAGGAACTGTTAACGCTAAGTCCTAGGAAAAGAGCTAAGAAAAATCACGTAGATATAACAATAAAAAAAATAATGGTTAATACATACAAATGTGAATTACAAGATAATCCTACTTTAGCGTTCCAAACACTGGAAAAAATGCTATAATTGTAATGGACAATGCCCCTTACCATTCCAGAAAATTGGAAAAAATTCCCATTATGGCTACAAAAAAGGAAAATATTCAAAATTGGCTTCGCTCAAAAGACATTCCCTTTGAAGAAACGATGTTAAAGGTGCAACTTTTAGAAATCGTTAAACAACATAAAGGGGAAATATAATAAGTACATAGTAGATGAACTGGTAAGAAGCACAAATAGAATAGTTTTAAGGTTGCCACCGTATCACTGCGAGTTCAATCCAATCGAGCTTGTATGGGCGGAAGTCAGGAATTATGTAGCATGGCATAACACAACATTTAAATTTGCTGACATTAAAAATTTATTTCATGAAGCTGTGTCTGCTGTAACCATGGAAAAATGGAAAAACTGCGTTAAACATGTAAAAGAAGAAGTGGAGCCAAAAATGTGGGAGTTGGATAATTTAATTGAAGCACAAATTGAGCCTATCATTATCAATTTTAATGATGACAGCAGTACATCAGATTCTGAAAGTTAAGATAAAATACGGTAATTTTATAAACTTTTTTTTGTATACTTTATTTTGTTGTTAATAACTCTCGACTTTGTAAATCATTTTTATATTTAAAAAATTGGTGTACTATAATCTGTACCTGTCAGACGTCTACAGATTATATAAGGTTTTGTATTGCAGCTTTAATTTACTAGTCCGGCCCTGAACAAACGGGCGTTTCCATCGTGCATTTGTTTCCATCGTCCGTAGCTTGAAGTTGAATTTACTGTAGAGAATTGACACAAACGTCAACTTTTTTGACAATAACCAAAGGCGATTGTTAGAATTTTTATTAATTAAATGCCAAACTAGAATTTTAGTTTTTAGAATTTGGTATCGAAAACTATACGTGAAATTAAACCTCAACTGTCTTTTTCTTTTTAGTATTTATTTAATTTATTCGTCAAAATCATCTTAATCCAAACAAACTTTTTGATACATAACCAGAGGCGGACGTTTTAATATTTATTAATTAAATGCGAAACTACAATTTTAGTATTTATTTAATTTATTCATTAAAATGAACTTAAGCTCAAACAAAATTAGTATGGATGAATAGGTATTTTCAATACCTTTCAAATGAAATATCACTTGCCATAAGGTCCTATTTAAAATTATCTTTCACAGTGGCTCTGTACGTCATGGCACTATTACGTCACTTGTTATGACTAGTTAAGAAACCTACGTATGTTTATTACCTCTTATCCAAATTTCACTATTTTAAGTATAACCATTCAAAAGATACATAGAGGGGGGAGCGGACTTTTGACTAGCACTATATATGTATATATGTCGGTTTATATAATTATTCTGAACCCCCATAAAATTTTTATTTAGTACATAGATTTTTATACTTTATCAGACTTTCTGTTTTAATTTATGACCCTCTAGTTATGAGACCCTAAAAGTAACTATTCTTTTTCTTCTTCTTCGGCTTTTCCCATTACGAGTTCGCCGTTTTCGTCCTCCACAGCACTCTATTCTCCCAGTCTCCTCTGAGGTCTCTATCTATCATAGCATTTCCGACGTATGTTTTCCATCTTGTAGCAGGTCTTCCTCTCCGTCTTCTTCCCGGCGGGTCCCAGTTTAATATTCTTTTCGGAAACCTATGCTCTGGCATTCTTTGTACATGCCCGTACCACTGCAGGGCTCTGTTTTCCAACTTTTTTGTAATTGAGCATTCTATTTCCATTCTGTTCCATATTTCCTCCGTTCTTATTCTATCCGATCTTGTGATTTGTAGACATCTTCTTATAAAGTCCAGTTCAACGGTTCTTATTTTATTTCGTATTGTTGTTGTCATTGGCCATACTTCCGCTCAATATAGGGTAATATTCATCACTATGCTTTGAAAGATCCTCTGTTTGTTTTCTTTGGTTAGAGTGTTGTTCCATATCGCTCCATGAAGTGCTCTTGTGGCTTGTTTTCCCCGTACTATTTTCATTTCTATATCTTTCATACAAGTACCATCTCGGCTAATCATTGACCCTAAATATTTAAAAGTCTTGCAACTCTTAATAGTAATTAAAAGTAACTATTTTAGTATAATAATTGATTAATTTTATTGATCACTCGTATTAGAAATGTTCATACTTTTTTTAGGTCCACATGATGACTCATCCAAAAGACCTCGACTTCGAATGTCACGTATGCGATAAAGCCTTTAGCGAAGCTAGAATCCTAAAACGACATCTAAAAATTCATTTAGAACAGAAACCGCATCAGTGCGATCAGTGTGATATGTCGTTCGCTGAGAGTTCCAACCTCACTAAACATAAAAAGAAACATACAGGAGAATTAAGGAACATCAAAGGGAAACCGCATCTGTGTTCAGTCTGCGGCCGGGCGTTCAAATGGGCTTCTAGTTTGTCAAAACACATGAAATACCATACTGGACATAAATTGTTGTCGTGTGAATATTGTGGAAAACAATATGTTGAGGTAAGATTATCTTTTTGTGATTTCTTTTAGGTATTATTCAAAGAATCCGAATCGAAAATAAAAAAAAAAACGGTAACATGACCAAACTGCCTTTTGGGCAAATCTTCTTTGTTGGACAGGAACATAATTGTAGATTGTAGATATACGAGGGTTCATAGATGTTTCCACACTGTCACCTAAAATATCTTTTGTGTATACCCCACATATGAATGCTTACTTTTCATTTTTAAAAATAGACATAAATTCTTGAAACACATAACAAACCATAATACTAATACACGAAACAATCTCATAAACTATAATATACCATACATACACTAACAGCATCTGAGAAAACCAGACAATATGCCTGTATTAAATTCTTTAATAAACTGCCTTACAGCATCAAAATAGAAACTTCTTCTTCTTCTTAAGTAGCAGGCCAGAGATATATTATCTATAATTAACTAGAACAAGCACAAAAAATTAGAATTTGATATTAATCCGAGATCCGAGAATACATCTCTCAAAATTTCACCTTAAACATAGCTAATGTCTATAAGACCGAGGCCAAGTAAGTTAACTGCCAAATTAGTATGACCACCCAGCACCAATTATAAACATTTACAGGTTTTTTTCTTGGCAATCGGGCTAAGTGCCAATCCAGCCAGCAGCAAATGTGTAATAACGGTCACTTAAATTAACCTATTCTAACTAAACTAAATACACTACTATTCTGGAAATTAAAAGAAGAACTAACATTTACAGGTTAATAACTTTTTATTTTCAAAATTTTTGAAAACGATTTCCGGATTAGATTTCATAAAGAGTAATTTTCCTTACAATAAATTGTGGTTTAATCCCGTATAAAATATTTATATCCTTCAAAACACGTGAAAGTTGCTAACTATTCTAATTTTTACAGGCCAGAAGCTTGAAAATTCATATTAGATCGCACACGGGAGAACGCCCGTACGTATGTGAAGTTTGTGAAAAGGGCTTTACTCAAATTTGCAACTTGGAAAAACATCTCAGGGTCCATACTGGAGAAAAGCCGTTTTCGTGCCCGATTTGTAACAAAAGGTAACCAATCAAATTAGCTTATTTTCTTGAATCTTTTGTGTTTACAATTAACACAAATTGTATCCTCATTTGGTATTGATTTGTTTATGTTTAATTTCAATGATATAAGTGTTATAGAACTATTGTTAAGGATGGTAACTAATTGTAACATAATTATTATGAACTGACATTACTAGTGGTGGTACCACTCAAATTTGAAATTACCGCCTTATTTATTGAAGTCAAAATGTCATGTCACTTTTTGATTGCCCAGTGGTGGGAAAATTCGTTGACTTCTTTCAAACAACTAAAGTTTTTTGGGGTCTCTTTATGAGCCGAATATCATCGAATTATGATTTCCGGCATATTAAATACTAAAAAAGTTCACTGAAAATGTACTGATAAGTCCGAAAATGTTTTGACTATAATACTTTTGGATTAGTCCTTAGACGAAGTGTCTGTGAGGACTAAAAACCCCAGTAGAGTCTTACGTTGCCATGTGATTAATTTCTTTTGTAACTTAAACATCATAGTTTTTAATTATCAAAGATGTAGGTCAAAGTTAATCAAACTACATTTAAAGGGTTTTTCCCATATATTTAGTGGTTTCAAACATGTACATCTAGATAGCACAGGATGGAATAGTTATGGATGATGGAAAACGTTCTGTGATGTAGCCCGATATGGTTTTTATTATTATAACTTTTATAAAGGAACTTTTAAATAAATTTTTTAAATAATTTTCGTTTTCTAAAGACATGTCTTTGCCGTGTATGTTAATGATTTATAAATATACAGTGAAATTATTAGCAGAAAACGAAAATCCAGTATTATACCCTACTTAGCACTACTCGTTTTTCCACAGCAACATTTTATCAAGGCATATCTAATAGCCCTATTTTGGTCCAAATAACTTGATCTTAGTTGCTAACTATGGCTCACGCTGTATATATACTTTTTGGATAATAACTATATAGGTTTACATTTATGAGAATACTTTCTTTTTTAAGGTTCACTCAATCGGGATATGTAGGAATTCATATGCGAACTCATACTGGTTCCCGTCCGTATGTTTGTGGTACTTGCGGTAGAGCATTTGCCGGTTCTAGTACACTGAATATCCACCAGCACGTTCATACAGGAGAGAAACCTTACACTTGCCAAGTTTGCAATAAATCCTTTAGTCGACACGAAACTTTGATTATTCACACTAGATCACACACTGGAGAAAAGCCACACGTTTGTGTGGTGTGCAATAAAGGATTCACTAGTTCTGGGTTGTTGTCTGGCCATATGAGGACTCATACTGGAGAGAAACCCTATGCTTGTGTGTGCTGTGATAAAAAGTAAGTATTTTCTATATAAATATGTGTAAGTATTGGTTGTTATTTGTGATCACTGAGTTCCTAGTATCTGGAAGGAGTAGGAGAAGAACTTCAAAGAAGACACGATACCCACTGTTTTATTATATAAATATTTCATGTAAATTCTTTACAGGTTTGCAAGTTCCAGCAGTCTAAAGGTTCACATGAGGTCCCATACTGGAGATAAACCATTCACTTGTAAAATTTGCAATAAAAGATATTCGCAGAGTAGTTCTCTACAGCAGCATCTAGCGTCACATAAAAAAGCAGAACTGAAAGTGGAAACGGTCCATGTAACGCTACCGGAATTAATGTAAGTAAATATATTACCTTATTTTTGTATTTACTGTTGTTTATAGATCTAGATCTTCCACATTTTTACCTCAGGTATTTTTGGGTATACACTAAATCGCGGAGTTCCTTTTTGTTGAGACCTTGTTTCAGTAGATACATAAACATTTTTCTCGTTATCCTGAGTCTGTTGTTGTTGGCGATTTTATTTTTAATTTACATAAACAAGTTTTCTTCCTCTTCTTCTCTTTGTGTACATGGCTGTCTGCTTTTTAATGTGCCTCCAGTAAGTTCTTGTCTTATCGCTTTCCTTGCCTTCCTACTGATCGTCTTCCTATTTTGGAACCAGCTCTTGCCATCTTTGCCATTTGTTGTCATTTGTCAAAAATTTGTTGTTATAACCATTCATTTTGTCTTTTTTGGGGAAAGTAACATGTTAAATTTTTTGGTGGTTATATTAAATTGGTGCAGCATATGTTGTAAATCATCTTAACTTTGGCAGTATTGCTTCGTCTGCATACCATATCATTTTAAGTTGTTTTTATCCCATTTGGTATTCTTTTCTAGTTCTTACTTTTTTTATTATTTCATCCATAATCAGGTTAAACAATAGAGGACTTAAGGAATCTGCCTATATTATCCGATTTCAAGCTTAAATAGGGTCAGTTAGTTCTTCTTTTACTTTTATTGTATTATTTTGGTAGATATTTTAGATCTTTGAGGGTATACAAGGCAACTATCGAACACGGTGATTAATTTAATCTTGCCCAAGTACTTTCGATCAATAGATCATCTTCAGGGGCATTTCGTCAGTTCTGGCCTATCCGACATGAGGAGAATGTCATAAATGTAAAATTTGGACATAACAATATAAAATACAATACACAAAGACAAACAAAAACTTTAAAATTTTTAAGGAGAAGCTACATGTTGTATAGAAGCCGGAGACAGAATCTGGAATTGATTCTGTCTCCGGCTTCTATCCAACATGTAGCTTCTCCTTAAAAATTTTAAAGTGTTTGTTTGTCTTTGTGTATTGTATTTTGTATTGTTATGTCCAAATTTTACATTTATGACATTCTCCTCATGTCGGATAGGCCACAACTGACGAAATGCCCCTGAAGATGATCTATTTATCGAAAGTACTTGGGCAAGATTAAATTAATCACCGTGTTTGATAGTTGCCTTGTATACCCTCAAAGTTTAATTATTCGAACATTCAACCTTATATTTATTTTAGATCTGTTGTATTCTAATGATTTCTCTTAAACTTGCCTCATTATAAATATATAGCGTCTGTGCATGATCTTTCCGGCCTAAAACCTTGTTGTTCTTCTGCTAGTGCTATAATTTCATTAAGTTTATTTGTTATCACTTTGGTTGTGAATTTAATAAATAGTATTCTGTTATAAATTAATTCCTCTGTAATTTTCCGGTTCCGATTTGTCTCCATTTTCGAGTAGAGTAAGTATAATGAATTTAGACAAGTCATTATACTTATTATACAAACAAATTTGAGTAGGTTTAGATTGTGATGCAGCATGATGTACATAATGAATAAAAGTTCCACCGTTGCGCCAATTTGGGAATTAGTTCTGATTGAAAAAAATTGGTTGTTTATTTTTCCTTGAGTATTCTAAAATATTCCCAGTTGGTATGTTTACTGTACATATAGGTAGAATTACCTCTTTTAACTGATTAAGTGTTTACTGCTATTACAGCATAGGAGTGGTCGGAAGACAGGTCGAAATATCACTTTAATACATCAATTTTAGATCATGCTATTGCTAAAACAGAAGTTGACCAGGTCAGAGATTTTGTTCCTGCTGTTAAACAATACCGGGTGGTGAATCGTCAAACGGACCATAGGAAACTCAATGGGAAATTTTAAATTGTTAAATTGCTGCTTCCCTAATTATTTTAGATCAAAAGTCATAAAAAACTATTTGTAGAGGACTAAATTCTGAATTAAAAACAAATGTTAAAACCGTTCTACGAATCAAATGTACTTCAAAATTTTGAAAAAATGTGATACATTTTTCAGACCACCCCTAAAAGTTAGGCCACACGTAATGCAAGAATATATATTACGACGTTTGTGTTTTATTATATTAATGTCAGATGTTTGACAATTTGAATTGTCAATTTTTTTATTTTATAATTAAATTATAAACAATGAATTTTACTAAATACTACTACTACTGAACATTATTACTTTGTGAACAATAAATTATATTGTTTACAAATCGATCAATATAATGAAATGTACTCAGTTGACATAAATCGCATAATGTTGTATTCAGGCAATAGCACGAACCTTTTCCTGCCACTACCGGATCTTTATTTACCGTAAGATATTCTAATTCACTAAAATTTAATTCCATGTTAAGTTATACAACAATTCAATTAATTCCAATATACTGTTACTGTGATCTTTATTCCTAATAATAATATATGAATATTTCTAAACATAAAACTATAACAAATGTTATAATAAAACATGAATAAAACATTTTTAATATTGCTTTTTTCTCCTCAACTGAGTACATTTTTTAATCAACTTAATTTTTTTTAAACAATAAATCACAAAATTTTGGTCATTTAAATCATAGATAAATATAATATAATTGATTTAAATATTGTCAAATATCAGAAACAATAATACGACAAAACGCAACACGTAATACACATTTTTTCACAGAAAAATGTATTATATTTTAGCAAAATTTTGGAATACGTTTAAGTCGTAGAATAATTTTAACAGTTGTTTTCGATACATATTTGAGTCCTCTACAAATAGTTTCCCATTACTTTTGATGTAAAATAATTAGGGAAGCAGGAATTCAACAATTTAGAATTTACCATTGAGTTTCCTATGGCCCGTTTGCCGATTCACCACCCTGTATATGGATTTTTCTGTAGATAGATGCTTAATATTGTTGTTGTGCCATAATTTGCCTTCCTTTATGATTTTAGTTCTTGGTGAAGAATTGTAGTTACCAACAAAGAAATCTATAACCAGGGCTGCTAAAATATTTTTCTTTTCTTAGTATTAAATCATTATATTAGTAGCTTAGCGGTAGTCGTTCCTGTATTTGTTGAGTTAATTATTGTTATTTTTTTTATTTATTGTTTATATGTAATTAGGCATTTTGATATGATTTTTATTGGAATCAGATTAATGATTATGTCTGATACGTGGTTAATGATAAAACCTATATTTCTACTTGATGTTGTGATAGCTTTAAAGTGACATCGTATATTTTTCATACACATCTAATACTTCTTCTTCGTTTGTCACATTTTTTTAAAACTCTTATAAATTTACTTTTTATTTTAATACTTTTATGTAAAACGATATCTCAATTTTTACTGCTGTTAAACGATTTCTTTTTATTGTTTCAGCACTGTGGATAATCAAACCATTCAGGTACAAGCAATAACAAATATATAAATATATCTATAGAAACCGAAGTCGCGTGCCACAGAAGTGTATGATTGTATAAGGAGTAACAGAAGAAAATGTTAATTGTTTTATTTACAGTTTTATGAGTTATATATTACCATTAGCCGTGTAATTGTGTTCATAAAAGTCTGAAGTCAATAAGAGAAATTAATTTGGAATTTTATTGTATCTAAATCTTACAACTCTTGACCTAAACGATTCCTTTGAGTCAACTTCCATCAATGTGAATCGTCAACTTTCGTTTGCCGAAGAAACCAGATCAAAACCAAACTGGATCTGTCTGTTAGTCACTCTTAGTTTATGCATTTACTATTTTTGCAAAACTGTAAATTATATAGTATATTTTAGTTAATTGTGATAATTATTAAGCATAGTTAGAGTCGGTAAAACCCAATATAAAAAGGAAAAATAACCGTTTTTGTGTATCAAATTGTCACAGAATTTTTAAGCACGTGCATCTAGCTTACGCAGATAGTCTCCGCCATTTTGTAGGCTTGTCTACTACATTCGTCGTTTAAGTGATTAATATGAAGCAGTCAGTATCAGTAGAGTGGAAAGTACAATCGCGGAAGAAAAGTAAATAGATCCACATTCACATCTACTAAAAGACGAACAAGAATGCGTAAAAGAGCAAACAAGCAAATCTTGCGATCTGAAATAAACCGCATATAAGTAAAGTATCAAAAGCTATAAGAAGTGAAGAAACCTATTTTACCCCTACATGGTGCAAACAGGGTAGTAGAGCCGAGCCGTAAGACCGAAGAAAAATCTAAAGCTTGGGATTGAACAATCATCAAGACGAAGAAACTTCATATATGCAGTAGAATATACCTAGCCACAGACGACTACCCTAGTACCTGGGTAATCTAGGAAATGCTGGATTAGCTTACACTTCCCCAGAAGAACACAAAAACGGTTCCGAGATTAGACGAAGTCACAAACAGGGCACTAAAAAATCTATCAAAAAAAAAACGATATACCTTTATACAACTTCTTCTTCTTTGGGTGCCGTGTCCGTATTCAGACGTTGGCCGTCATCATGTTTACAATTTCCTGAAACCTTTCTCTGTCGGCTGCTGCGCGAAATAATTCTTCTACTGTGGAACCACACCATTGTCTAATATTACGCAGCCATGAAAGTTTCTTTCGACCAATCCATCTCTTTCCTTCCACTTTTCCTTGTATTATAAGGCGAAGTAAATGGTATTTAGGTCCTCTAATTATATGGCCGAAGTATTCTGTTTTTCTCCTCTTTATGGTGTTTATGAGCAGACGTTCTGAATTGATCATTTGAAGAACATCTTCATTGGAAGTGTGCGAAACCCAAGATATCTTTAGGATTCGTCTATAGCACCACAATTCGAATGCTTCTAACTTGTTTAGCATTGTGGTTTTTAACGTCCATGTCTCACAACCATACGATAGGATCGACCACACATAACATTTCAGGACCTTCTTACGAATATTCATTGACAGGTTTCTGTTGCATAAAACTGGTTTCCAGGTCATAAAAGCCTTACGTGATATTTCGATCCTGGATATTATCTCTTCATCAGAGTCACAATTTACATTTAATCAGCTGCCAAGGTATTTGAAATGATTTACCCTTTCTATCTCTTCTCCATTAAGAGAAAGCAGACCTTGATCTATATGGATCTTTCCAACTGCCATCCACTTTGTCTTTGAAATGTTGATTTTTAGGCCTCTAGATAACTTGCTTCACTGACTACATTTAGTAATGTTTGGAGATCTTGTAAACTTTCTGCAAGAATGGCTGTATCGTCAGCGTATCTAATATTGTTGATTACTTCTCCACCTACTCTTACTCCCTCTTATCTGTCATCCAAAGCCTCCCTAAAGATTTCTTCAGAGTACAGATTAAAAAGAGTGGGTGACAAAACACAACCCTGCCGTACTCCACGTTTGATGGGTATTTTTTCAGTGGGACTGTCTCCAATTTGGATAGAGGCTACTTGATTGTAATATAAGTATTTCAGCAGTCTTATATCATAGTGGTCAAGTCCTGCTGCCCGTAGGCAGTCGAAAAGTGTATTGTGTTGGACGCTGTCGAACGCCTTCTCGAAGTCGATGAAACAAACATAAACATATTTTCGGAATTCACAACTTTTTTGTAATAGAACGCGCATACAGAATAGTGCCTCTCTAGTTCCTAGACCGTTTCTAAATCCAAATTGCTTATCACCCATCTTACTTTCGCATAGAAGGAATACTCGGTTTTGTATAATTCGTAAGAGTATCTTCAGTGTGTGACTCATCAAACTGATTAGTCTAAAATCGCTGCATTTGGTGGGCCTGCTTTTCTTTGGTAATGTTATAAACAGTGACTCTAACCAATCATCTGGTATTTTTCTTCGTTGTAAATTTTGTTGAAGAAAGTGGTTAAGCAGGCAATGCTTTCCTCATCCAAAAGTTTAAGTAGTTCGGCAGGGATTTGATCTGGTCCAGGTGCTTTATTGTTTTTGGCTTGCTGTATTGCCTTTTCGACTTCCGAATTCAGTATATTGGGACCTCTGTCCAACTGGTTGTCACATGCAGTATTTGGAGCATTTTCTCTAGAAGCATCGTCAAAAAGGTCAGTGATGTATCTCTCCCATTCTTTGCACTGTTGTTCGTGATCACAAATTTTTCCGTCCGCGCTTTTAAGTATGTGAGCATTTTTCTGTTTTCTAATTCCGGCAGTATATTTAAGTTTCTTATGCAGGTTGAAGCTGTCATGCTTTTTTTTGGAGGTCTTCTATTTCTTTATATAAATTCTCAAGCCAGGATTCTTTGGCTTGCTTAATTTTTCTTTTTATGCGTTTATTAATTTCACGATATTCGATAATACTTCTATTTTTGTGTTGCCGTCGAACTTCCATCAGATATAGAATTTCTTGTGTCATCCACTCATTTTTTGCCAACATGGTAGGTGTTTTCAAAGACTCTTGTACGTTCTCTAAAATCGAGTTTTGAATGGCATACCAGCATTCGTTAATGGTTCTGTTTTCGTTTGGTATATTTGATATTCTGTGTATTTTACTATTTATTTGCTGTGATATGTGTTCGCGCGTTTGAGGGTTTTTCAGGGGGTCGAGATATCTCTTACAAGGCTTAGTTGGCTTTGTTAATTTCTTCAATTTAATTTGTATTTTGGAGCAGAGTAAATTGTGATTTGAGTTTATGTCAGCGCCGGGGTAAGTTTTTACATATTTAATATTGTTTCGAAATCGGTGGTTTATTAGGATGTAGTCTATTTGATTCCGTACTATTCTGCCTTGATGTCCATCTTGAAAGGATTTCCACGTGTAAAGACGCCTTTCTGGAAGTTGAAACCAGGTATTTGTAATGGCGAAGTCATTTTCTTGGCAGAATTCTATTAGCCGTTCACCTCTTTGATTTCTCTCTCCCAAGCCAAACTTTCCGGTGATGCCCTGCGTCATCTTCTGTCCAACTTTAGCGTTAAAGTCACCCATAATTATTATTGCTTCGTGTTTCTTTGTTATTTTTAGCACTTCTTCTATTTGATGGTAGAATTCTTCAATATTCTGCTCATCTGCGTCAGCAGTGGGAGCATAAACTTGGATGATATTTATATTTACAGGTTTAGCATTCAGCTGTATTAAAATTACTCTGTCTGATATTACTAATCTGTCTAATTATACAACACACATCATAAATGATCATTAGACTGAGAAAATGGCACCTTCTACCAAAATTACAGGCCTATCAAGATACGTAGAGTTAACATTCCTATCCGGTACGCTATTAGTTTCATTAATGTGTCCATATTTACATTCATACTCAACAAAGAGTTTATTTAACTTTAATCAACAATTTTAAGTTATTAATTATCGTCAAGTAAGAGAAAAACTTCAGCAGTAAAAATAAATATTTAAATGATTATATCGCTGCAAAGGCGATAAAGAGACCTTTCAAATGAGCTGTCGCATGAGCTCGTTTTGTATTTAAAAAAATCATCGATTACGTCATTACGCCCACACTGATGACGCAATGTCCAACACATATATAGCAGTTGATGGCCATTCGAAAATTAAAATTGGCGTGTCTTAAGATTTTTTTTAAAGTCGTCTGTTTCTGAAATAATGAACTGATTCCATACATATGCATCATACTGTATGTGCTGGACAGCACATCGCACAAATGTCTCAATATTGACAGAACTCGACATCAATACTAGGCTTACCACAATCATCAACCAAAATATATTGAGGTATTTGAAAACCAGAAGTTTCTCCTTCAAGAAAATGTCATCACTCACTACCAGCATGGCTTTATCAAGGGTCGTTCAACGACCAGAAACTTACTCCATTGTGTAAACGATTGGTCGCCATCTTTAAACAATCAGCATTCTATTGGTGTAATCTGTTTACACTTTTCCAATTGGATCACTAGATAAATTGATATTTGCGGAAAATTAAACATTTGGATTTAAAATTTTCTATCCGACAGATACATCTGGGTTCGTATTGGAGAAGTCTATTCACTAGATAAACCAGTCAAGAGCAGAGTGCCACTAGAGTCACTACTTGGTCCACTACTCTTTTGTATCTACATTAGTGATCTTCCGCTGATTGTATCCAGCAAGGTTTCCATTAACGCTGTTAATACCCAATTATATGTGAATCCGAGGAGCAGAGTGCCGCAAGGATCAGTACTTGGACCACTACTCTTGTATAAATACTAGTGATTTCCGCTCATCGTATCCATCAAGGTTTCCATTTACGATGATGGTACCAAATTATATGTAAATACTATTATCAACCAACATATGCTTTAACACGATCTTGACTAAGTCTTAACACCGGGAAGTCTTTCTTTATATATCTGCATCTTTAACGGAACCTTTACGAAAACTTTTCATAAAACTTTTAAAACCATTCACCAACGGAAATAATCTTCTGCAATTCTATTTATCCCTTGGGCTACACAAGTGGAATGAATTAAGTTAGGATAAAGATCTTTAAATTAACAGGCTGGGTAAAAAGAGGTAGAAGTAAAAGAATACGGACACGGCACCTAAAGAAGAAGAAAAATATGTTTGTTAAACTATCTTGTATAAATCTACTTATTGTTAAATTGTCGACCTTTTCAAATTCTTAAACGGTAAATAAATAAGGTTTTCTCGAAAAA